GAGCCCAGCCCCCACAAGTTCTCTTACACTGAGAATCAGTAAACTACTACAATGAAGTAAGTCTGAACCCTGTAGGCATCCTGCCTTACCCTGGCCTCTGTGAGGAGTGAGCCCAGTCCCCACAAGTTCTCTTACACTGAGAATCAGTAAACTACTACAATGAAGTAAGTCTGAACCCCTGTAGGCATCCTGCCTTACCCTGGCCTCTGTGAGGAGTGAGCCCAGTCCCCACAAGTTCTCTTACACTGAGAATCAGTAAACTACTACAATGAAGTAAGTCTGAACCCCTGTAGGCATCCTGCCTTATCCTGGCCTCTGTGAGGAGTGAGCCCAGTCCCCACAAGTTCTCTTACACCGAGAATCAGTAAACTACTACAATGAAGTAAGTCTGAACCCCTGTAGGCATCCTGCCTTACCCTGGCCTCTGTGAGGAGTGAGCCCAGCCCCAACAAGTTCTCTTACACTGAGAATCAGTAAACTACTACAAGGAAGTAAGTCTGAACCCCTGTAGGCATCCTGCCTTACCCTGGCCTCTGTGAGGAGTGAGCCCAGCCCCCACAAGTTCTCTTACACTGAGAATCAGTAAACTACTACAATGAAGTAAGTCTGAACCCCTGTAGGCATCCTGCCTTACCCTGGCCTCTGTGAGGAGTGAGCCCAGCCCCCACAAGTTCTCTTACACCTGAGAATCAGTAAACTACTACAATGAAGTAAGTCTGAACCCCTGTAGGCATCCTGCCTTACCCTGGCCTCTGTGAGGAGTGAGCCCAGCCCCCACAAGTTCTCTTACACTTAGAATCAGTAAACTACTACAATGAAGTAAGTCTGAACCCCTGTAGGCATCCTGCCTTACCCTGGCCTCTGTGAGGAGTGAGCCCAGCCCCAACAAGTTCTCTTACACTGAGAATCAGTAAACTACTACAATGAAGTAAGTCTGAACCCCTGTAGGCATCCTGCCTTACCCTGGCCTCTGTGAGGAGTGAGCCCAGTCCCCACAAGTTCTCTTACACTGAGAATCAGTAAACTACTACAATGAAGTAAGTCTGAACCCCTGTAGGCATCCTGCCTTACCCTGGCCTCTGTGAGGAGTGAGCCCAGCCCCCACAAGTTCTCTTACACTGAGAATCAGTAAACTACTACAAGGAAGTAAGTCTGAACCCCTGTAGGCATCCTGCCTTACCCTGGCCTCTGTGAGGAGTGAGCCCAGCCCCCACAAGTTCTCTTACACTGAGAATCAGTAAACTACTACAAGGAAGTAAGTCTGAACCCCTGTAGGCATCCTGCCTTACCCTGGCCTCTGTGAGGAGTGAGCCCAGCCCCAACAAGTTCTCTTACACTGAGAATCAGTAAACTACTACAAGGAAGTAAGTCTGAACCCCTGTAGGCATCCTGCCTTACCCTGGCCTCTGTGAGGAGTGAGCCCAGCCCCCACAAGTTCTCTTACACTGAGAATCAGTAAACTACTACAATGAAGTAAGTCTGAACCCCTGTAGGCATCCTGCCTTACCCTGGCCTCTGTGAGGAGTGAGCCCAGCCCCCACAAGTTCTCTTACACTGAGAATCAGTAAACTACTACAATGAAGTAAGTCTGAACCCCTGTAGGCATCCTGCCTTACCCTGGCCTCTGTGAGGAGTGAGCCCAGCCCCCACAAGTTCTCTTACACTGAGAATCAGTAAACTACTACAAGGAAGTAAGTCTGAACCCCTGTAGGCATCCTGCCTTACCCTGGCCTCTGTGAGGAGTGAGCCCAGCCCCAACAAGTTCTCTTACACTGAGAATCAGTAAACTACTACAATGAAGTAAGTCTGAACCCCTGTAGGCATCCTGCCTTACCCTGGCCTCTGTGAGGAGTGAGCCCAGCCCCAACAAGTTCTCTTACACCTGAGAATCAGTAAACTACTACAAGGAAGTAAGTCTGAACCCCTGTAGGCATCCTGCCTTACCCTGGCCTCTGTGAGGAGTGAGCCCAGCCCCAACAAGTTCTCTTACACTGAGAATCAGTAAACTACTACAATGAAGTAAGTCTGAACCCCTGTAGGCATCCTGCCTTACCCTGGCCTCTGTGAGGAGTGAGCCCAGCCCCCACAAGTTCTCTTACACTGAGAATCAGTAAACTACTACAATGAAGTAAGTCTGAACCCCTGTAGGCATCCTGCCTTACCCTGGCCTCTGTGAGGAGTGAGCCCAGCCCCCACAAGTTCTCTTACACTGAGAATCAGTAAACTACTACAATGAAGTAAGTCTGAACCCCTGTAGGCATCCTGCCTTACCCTGGCCTCTGTGAGGAGTGAGCCCAGCCCCACAAGTTCTCTTACACTGAGAATCAGTAAACTACTACAAGGAAGTAAGTCTGAACCCCTGTAGGCATCCTGCCTTACCCTGGCCTCTGTGAGGAGTGAGCCCAGCCCCCACAAGTTCTCTTACACTGAGAATCAGTAAACTACTACAATGAAGTAAGTCTGAACCCCTGTAGGCATCCTGCCTTACCCTGGCCTCTGTGAGGAGTGAGCCCAGCCCCAACAAGTTCTCTTACACTGAGAATCAGTAAACTACTACAAGGAAGTAAGTCTGAACCCCTGTAGGCATCCTGCCTTACCCTGGCCTCTGTGAGGAGTGAGCCCAGCCCCCACAAGTTCTCTTACACTGAGAATCAGTAAACTACTACAAGGAAGTAAGTCTGAACCCCTGTAGGCATCCTGCCTTACCCTGGCCTCTGTGAGGAGTGAGCCCAGTCCCCACAAGTTCTCTTACACTGAGAATCAGTAAACTACTACAATGAAGTAAGTCTGAACCCCTGTAGGCATCCTGCCTTACCCTGGCCTCTGTGAGGAGTGAGCCCAGTCCCCACAAGTTCTCTTACACTGAGAATCAGTAAACTACTACAATGAAGTAAGTCTGAACCCCTGTAGGCATCCTGCCTTACCCTGGCCTCTGTGAGGAGTGAGCCCAGTCCCCACAAGTTCTCTTACACTGAGAATCAGTAAACTACTACAATGAAGTAAGTCTGAACCCCTGTAGGCATCCTGCCTTACCCTGGCCTCTGTGAGGAGTGAGCCCAGTCCCCACAAGTTCTCTTACACTGAGAATCAGTAAACTACTACAAGGAAGTAAGTCTGAACCCCTGTAGGCATCCTGCCTTACCCTGGCCTCTGTGAGGAGTGAGCCCAGCCCCCACAAGTTCTCTTACACCGAGAATCAGTAAACTACTACAATGAAGTAAGTCTGAACCCCTGTAGGCATCCTGCCTTACCCTGGCCTCTGTGAGGAGTGAGCCCAGCCCCCACAAGTTCTCTTACACCGAGAATCAGTAAACTACTACAATGAAGTAAGTCTGAACCCCTGTAGGCATCCTGCCTTACCCTGGCCTCTGTGAGGAGTGAGCCCAGCCCCCACAAGTTCTCTTACACTGAGAATCAGTAAACTACTACAAGGAAGTAAGTCTGAACCCCTGTAGGCATCCTGCCTTACCCTGGCCTCTGTGAGGAGTGAGCCCAGCCCCAACAAGTTCTCTTACACTGAGAATCAGTAAACTACTACAATGAAGTAAGTCTGAACCCCTGTAGGCATCCTGCCTTACCCTGGCCTCTGTGAGGAGTGAGCCCAGTCCCCACAAGTTCTCTTACACTGAGAATCAGTAAACTACTACAATGAAGTAAGTCTGAACCCCTGTAGGCATCCTGCCTTACCCTGGCCTCTGTGAGGAGTGAGCCCAGCCCCCACAAGTTCTCTTACACTGAGAATCAGTAAACTACTACAATGAAGTAAGTCTGAACCCCTGTAGGCATCCTGCCTTACCCTGGCCTCTGTGAGGAGTGAGCCCAGCCCCCACAAGTTCTCTTACACTGAGAATCAGTAAACTACTACAAGGAAGTAAGTCTGAACCCCTGTAGGCATCCTGCCTTACCCTGGCCTCTGTGAGGAGTGAGCCCAGCCCCCACAAGTTCTCTTACACTGAGAATCAGTAAACTACTACAATGAAGTAAGTCTGAACCCCTGTAGGCATCCTGCCTTACCCTGGCCTCTGTGAGGAGTGAGCCCAGCCCCCACAAGTTCTCTTACACTGAGAATCAGTAAACTACTACAAGGAAGTAAGTCTGAACCCCTGTAGGCATCCTGCCTTACCCTGGCCTCTGTGAGGAGTGAGCCCAGCCCCCACAAGTTCTCTACACTGAGAATCAGTAAACTACTACAAGGAAGTAAGTCTGAACCCCTGTAGGCATCCTGCCTTACCCTGGCCTCTGTGAGGAGTGAGCCCAGCCCCCACAAGTTCTCTTACACTGAGAATCAGTAAACTACTACAATGAAGTAAGTCTGAACCCCTGTAGGCATCCTGCCTTACCCTGGCCTCTGTGAGGAGTGAGCCCAGTCCCCACAAGTTCTCTTACACTGAGAATCAGTAAACTACTACAAGGAAGTAAGTCTGAACCCCTGTAGGCATCCTGCCTTACCCTGGCCTCTGTGAGGAGTGAGCCCAGCCCCCACAAGTTCTCTTACACTGAGAATCAGTAAACTACTACAATGAAGTAAGTCTGAACCCCTGTAGGCATCCTGCCTTACCCTGGCCTCTGTGAGGAGTGAGCCCAGCCCCAACAAGTTCTCTTACACTGAGAATCAGTAAACTACTACAATGAAGTAAGTCTGAACCCCTGTAGGCATCCTGCCTTACCCTGGCCTCTGTGAGGAGTGAGCCCAGTCCCCACAAGTTCTCTTACACTGAGAATCAGTAAACTACTACAATGAAGTAAGTCTGAACCCCTGTAGGCATCCTGCCTTACCCTGGCCTCTGTGAGGAGTGAGCCCAGCCCCCACAAGTTCTCTTACACTGAGAATCAGTAAACTACTACAATGAAGTAAGTCTGAACCCCTGTAGGCATCCTGCCTTACCCTGGCCTCTGTGAGGAGTGAGCCCAGCCCCAACAAGTTCTCTTACACCGAGAATCAGTAAACTACCACAATGAAGTAAGTCTGAACCCCTGTAGGCATCCTGCCTTACCCTGGCCTCTGTGAGGAGTGAGCCCAGCCCCCAGAAGGTCCCACCTCCCGTTGACGTTCCACCGATCCTTTCAAACTTGTTCTCAGACTCCACCTGAAAACACCAATGTGGGTCACATCAATAAAATATGTCACGTGAGCATCCACATTTTCACGAAAATTGTTGAATTACATAGTGATCTTGCTACTGGCCAGTACAACATCATATCTTGTTGGTTACTCAGTCATGTTGGAATCAGTGGTAACACAAAGGCCTGTGCTGCTGCAAAGGCAGCACTCAACAAATCTGTGACACCACTTCTTATCCCATACACAGGGATGTGAGCAGGTTCTCCCGGAAAAAGAGGAAAAGTCTAGGGGGGTCTGACATTTTTTAAACATTTGATTGCATTTTAAGCAATTTCGTGCAGTTGGGACAACATTCACACCAAGAAATGTAATAAGTCAATGGCAAAAGTCAATAAGTCAAATAAACAAGATGGCAGATGCAGTAAAATTTCGAAGTTAAATCAGTACTTTTAAAAAATCGGGCATAGCTTCCACGCACCTGGCTACCCGCCAGGTCTGGGAGCAATACTGCCATAAACTTCAACCCCCATCCCCCAGACCCAAGGACAACTGTCACAAGCCTGCAATGTCTGACCCTTTCCCCATGTTGAAGCATATTGAAAAAAACTTACCTTGTACTTACTTACCTTTTGTTGAAAAAAACAAAACTCCATTGCAAACATAAGACATTATTACAACATATATCCCCATGTTATGGGTTTTTATGGGCTGAAGAAACATTCATAGTTTTCTCACTAATCACATGAACAACTGTAAAACATCTCATTCACTTACAGGCTAAAAGACAACTTTATCTTAAAAACAAGCCATCATCTGACTCTGAGTATTTACTATTTCCGTGTGACGCCACACCCCACGTTATAGTGCAAGTATTCGTGATAGAAAACGTATGATGTCCGGAAACCTTTGCTGTTGAAAGCTCTGATCGAAAACAGGACAATTCGCGAAGGTTGTCCATTTTTCGATCATATTTTTCGGAGTGTTTTTTTTAAATCTTTGAATATATTTTTCCGAGGACTACTGTTTTAAAAAACGCGATTTCACATCCCTGCATACAGTGATTATACACCTGTAATAAGATTTTACATCAAAGATCTAATGCAAAAGAAGTGGGACACCCAAGTAGGTCTCAATTAGTTTCCTCACTAGCCCAGGAAAAGGTAAAATGCCCTTATAATGTTAAGACAATTGGAAAATTTGGAAATTTGCAGTAGCCCACAGGAATTTGTACTAGCCCTGGGCTAGCAGGCTAGTGTTAAATTCTAACCCTGTCTAACCCATGAAACAATCCTACAGCATGCCCCCTCACCTTGATAAGACTGACACCAGAGCCAATGTTGACAAGCAGGTAGGGGAAGATGTCTGTGCTGACACCCTGGAACTTGTAGTCGGGGTTGCCATGGCGCTGGTACACGAAGGACTCATCGGGGATGTTCTTCAGGAGGAAGTTGCAGCCACAGATCAGACAATCCATCTCATCTTCCTTGTCAACCCTGTGAGTAGTTCCAGTGAATGAGTGGGAGCATGGTATGTTATGTCTAATTGTTATATAAGTGCAATGTATGTATATATTAGATAGCTACCCAATAAATCACAAAGAACAATGAAGAATGGTTTATTTCATGATAAAACATTGTTCTATCATGAAGTCATTTCTGGAGATTCAAACATGTGCTCGCAACCTGATGACGTTGTGGATTGGACGATGTTAAAGAGGGAAGTGTCTCGTGTCTAGTTCCCCATTGACGTATTTGGCCAACGCAGTAAATGCCGAAACGATGACATCTAAAATTGGGCGTCATTATTTATTAACCAATCACAGCCTTGGTTGCACATTAGTTTCGTTACAAGGCTGGTTTGGCTTTTTAATGTACTGTCATCGATCGATAATGTGAGTAGGTCGGCGATCGGACCAATTTTCTCCCGAAAAACTTAAAATATAACAACATTTATTTAGATTCTACATGTACGACTACTTTGATTAATTTACACAAAGTATTTTTATATTTTTACGCATGCAGTTTGAATCATCGTCCACGATCAGTGTTATCTAGATCTACATATCCCATGCCACTGTGAAATAATTGCGCCACTGTTCCATTCACTACCATCATTAACCTCAGCAAGGAATATCTGTACACCGCTCTTTCCTACACCGCGGGGTCAGTTTCTTGGACCCCGATGACAGCGGTATATCGAGGGATCACTGTATAACAATCAGTATTAGGAGAGAAGGTACAGGTTATCATCGCCTTGACAACTGTGAGAATATCCGGGCAATATCAAATTTAACTCCCCTGTTCATAAAATGGACTTGTCCGAGATCAAATTATATTCAGGGAGTCATCATTATTTAAAGATGGGTAAATATTTTCAGTGGTTGTACGTTTCTTTAACATCCTTAAAGAGGTTGTAAAAAATCTTGATATCTCATATACGAATAAACGACTCATGGTCAATGTTTATAGAACAATAACACATTGCAGGGAGAAAAAACTCGGGGCTGCATCCCTCATGGTTTATTTACTCCCACTCGTCATTTATTTCTTAAGTACGATATTAAAGTAACATCATGAATATCACATGGGTAAATATCACATTACTTAGTGCACTGACATACAGCTTTACCCTCAATCTCCATCCCAATGTTGTATATCAATTTCACTCAACTGATGTAGAGTAAATGAAACACTTCAGAATTTCGTGTTAGGGGGAAATATATAACAGAAAGAGAATCTGGCAGTGTTCTTGTCAAGCCAAATGACCTACTTACTGAACTCCCAGCTTGCTGGTGATGAGGTCCTTGTATTTATAGGCCCCGCCTCCTGTGGCCTTGATGTACTTGTCCTTCATGAAGTCCTTGGACTGAATCAAGTTCCCCTGTATGAAGTCCAGGCATGTCTCAATGTACTTGGTTTCAAACTTGACAAAATGTAGTCGAACAATCACTTCATCTGTTTCAGAGATGTTGTATATATGACTGGCATCATCCTGAAATAGTAAACATCATTCTAGGAGAAGGCCTCGTAAGTGTGTCACTTGTGCCTAATCCACTATCGCTAAACAAAGATCTGAGGGCATCCCATTACGGGTCATGTCACAACAACCTTCATCCGACCCATTAAAGCATCGCTTATCAGATCATGAAAGTGACAGTCGGAATGAGTTTTCTAATCATGCAACCTCGAAAACGGCTGATTCCTTCAAAATTATTGTCTATCTCTCGCTTCCGTGGGATAAGCATTTGAACGGAGGAGACACTGAACAGTATGTGGGAAGCACTGCCATACAATTTGAACCATATATTAGACATTGCGGAATGTTCATTCGTTCAGTTTTCCAAATTTTAATCGAGAACTGTGTCAACATATTTTTCAAGCGTTGTCTGAAATGGAAGTCGCCAGTTTGAAATGAGTGCCGTAAAGCTTGAGAAAGCTGCTTTCTAATTGGCTGATGTCGACTTCTTGTTAGTCATTTCAGTGGTCGATCTAAGTTCACGAAAGGTCATTCTGACGCAACCCGTAATGGGATGTCCTCAGATTTTTAGAGGCAGCGAGAACTAAGATATAATTTTAATGAGATAGAACATATCAGCAACTGTTTGTCTCTTAAAGACTCTTTACAAGTTTCTTCAAATTCTGAGGCACAGTTTGACTTATTTTCCAGGAAGTATAAGAAATTTTGTTTCTCGCTTTTATTGCACAAAAAAATAAAATTTAATGAGTAAAATGTTTAGAAAGAAATCTATTTCATATTGAATGTACAGTATAAAAATATATTATACCATAGAAAATGTTCATTATACTGTAATTTTGGTTTTGGTCAGCAACTTGTGTGTCCCCTACAGCTATGCAAGCTCTGGGGTGAATATCTCACTCAACATGCATTGATGTAAAGATATGGCCATCTTTTCATCAACAATAAGAATCAGCTTGTTAAGGAAGAGCATGGATTTTACATGCTTATTGAAGATATTAAAGATGCTGACCTGCTCTGGTTCATCAAACACCATGGATGTCCTCCTGCTGACTGTAGAACAGTAGGACAGCTTAGCTAGGGAGCCTCCTGTCAACACATTCAAATCAAACTTTTTATCATCCAAAACTCCACGGGAGATATCGCTTGGATGAGATCAAGCGATATCTACACTGTAGATATCGCTGCAATGAAATTACATCACAATGCTTTGCAGACCATTGTGACGCCACTGATTACCATGACGTCACAATCAAATGACATCACTGATGGCTCTGCTACTGAAGCTGTTAGCAGTACTTTTTTACATGGAGGACACTGCTAATTACTGTCAACAAATTGAAAAAGCTGGTAGAATGATGTTGGATGATAAATAAAATCTCACCCTTGTGTCTTTTGATAATCAAATATATCAACACACGTTGATAAAAGTGCCAAAAATCCTCAGAATTTTTTCACTTTTATCAACTCGTGTTGATATATTTGATATCAAAAGACACTCAGGTGAGATTCTCTATATACCATCCTTGCACTTACAAAAATGACAAAGCTGGAAACTTAATTAAACCTTGCGCTTGTAAAATTTGACATCAGAGAATGAAACTAAACCTTTTAAAATAATAGGTTACTCGAAAAAGTGATTTACAACTTTAAGTGTATTCCTTGTTATCATTGTTAGGATTCACAGCTGTCATCACTTCCGGTATCTAGAGTTATCTCCCTTTGACTATCACTATTGCTATGTACCTTACACATTGACATATCTGTACTGTTTTAGTAGCTGTACAAAAATACATTTTTAACATAGTCAACACTATACTTTTCTTCTTTTTGTAGCCGGGTTTCCAATTAGTTTATAATTCTTTGAACATATTTTTCAAAGTGTTATAACTTGGGCCAGTGAACCGGTTTACCTATATCAATAGCAAATCTCCGAGCATGTTTGAGGTTCCTAAATATGCTCTCTGTTGGCAGTTCGATGCTCCGGGCATAACTCTTCGCTGTCATGCTGCTAGCCAGGGCAGACCACCCTCACACCCAACCTGAAACATAGGTTCATGTAAGAATACTGACGTACCAAAAACACAAATCAGAGCTACAGATATGCAGCGTAAAATACGTTCCCTCCCCCCCCCCAATCTTCAAAACCCAATTACTTTCAATTAACTTGCATACAGAAACGCATGCATTAAATGAACAACTCATATTTATAAAAACAGCATGCTATATACCCAATTAATTTTTCTCAGCATGTGTACGAAGGATCTAATTTCTGAAACTCAGTTACGAGCTAATTTACTTTCCATGTCAAGCCCATATATTTAGAACAGTTGAATATACATCTGAAACATTATTTCTTTTTTTAAAATCTTGAAACGTTCCCCTAGTATGGGAGAAACCCAATAGAATGATGAATAGATGAGTCAAGCCTATATATTTAGAACAGTTATATACATCTAAAACATTATTTATTTATTTTTTTAAATCTTAAAATGTTCACTAATTTTTGGAGAAACCCAATAGAGTGATGAATATATGAGTGATAAAATATTGGTAACCCAATGAAAAATGTAATAACCCAATTAAAATAGAAACCCAAAAGTAAAAACTCAATTGCTCAAAAAGTTAAACTAGCTCAATACAAGGAGGGCATTATTCATTCATTGTCCTAGTCAGCACCCTCCTCACTCCCACTGAACCAGAACACATCCCATTCTCAGAGAATACTGCTGTATTATTTATTATCGGGGTCGAAGTATTGGCTGATTACCGGATAAGAAAATAAGGTGTAGTGTTACATGTATACATATCTTTTAAGCATGTTCAAATTAATACCATGATATAGCTAAATTGTAACTTGGGTTATAAAATGTATAGATTTTCCCTTCAAGTTTCTTGTGTGCAATCAGGGTTTGATTTAAGTATTAAACTTGATCTAAATTGCACCAGGTGCACATTGACATGAAAACCAAGTTGCACCAAACAAAAACAGGTTGCACCCTGGTCCCATAAATTCAAAGTTGAAAGACAGATGCATAAACTAGTAAAAATACATGTTATCTCAAATATCTGATGATTGTTTATTTATGATACTGTTAGTACTTACTGTTGTTCACTACTTTTGCGTCTTTCCGAGGCAAGGGAGTTAACTGACTACAAAAGTCCAGTTTCCACCCTTGCCGAACTAGGCTGGTATTATGGAGTTCTATTTTGGCTGGTCTAACGAGTCTATGCATAGACTCATCAAAATCGTGCGACGAAATCGAAATCCGGTTTGTAAACTGTCATGCAGATTTTGGTCGATTGCAGGATTTGCAAAGCATGTGCATCGCCAACTCAATGTCAACAGACATTTTTCAAAATGTTTTCATGTTCTTAATCAAGGTGCTCACGTGATTTGATGCTTTTCGCAATGTAAGACCCGTTTTATCACAATATAGATCTTGATTATCGATCAGATCATCCTGACTGGGAGTCGCCCTTTTGTTTGAAGCAAATGCAAGTGATACGAGAGGTTGAATCTGATTTGGCTTAGGCTTAGAAGGGACATAACTCGTAATAGCCACTGGTGGCGCTACGATCAAGCCCAGGAATTCTAGCCTAGTGGCAAGGGTGGAAACTGGACTTTTAAAGTCAGTTAACTCTCTTACCTCGGGAGGATGTACTTATGTGGTGTTGTCATCAATGGCAACCGTCATATTTATTCAGTTTGTGTAATTCCAGAGCCCTGTTATCTAGGTCGCCAGTATTACTGGTCATAGCTGACACAGGATTAGAAACTAACAGTTTTTGTCCACTAGTCCTTATAATAACATATAGCAAAACCCTTAAAATGGGCTAATTTCTACTAGTCCTTAGGATACCTTTACTATTGGGCAGTTTGGTAAGGACTACAGGACTAGTGCCAATTTCTAACGCTGCTGACACTGACACAATGAACGCAGTGAACAAAGCAGGCTGCTGCCACAGCTTGCAGAAATACGACTGTCATGTGACTTATCATCATCAGCTGAAGTGCTAGTGGGAACAGTGACAAATGTATTTACTGACTTTTGCCTCTTACTTGTCGTGATTTTCATTCATAACATCCACGAAAGAAGAAGCAACAACACTAGCACATTCCAGAAACCTAGTCTGGTCTACTGCCAGTGTCACATAAAATAATTACATGTTGCTAAGGGCTAGGACGAGTCCAAATTTATTACTCGGCTACCCCTCCCACCCCCCACTCCTATTACCCGACTCTACCTGGGTACCCACTGTAGGTCTCAAGAGACAGGTACAAAATGTCCGATTGGGAAAAGTTTGACCATACTCCTGCCCCCCTGTCAAAATGTATTTAGATACACGTATAAAATGATCTGGACATGCGTACACTGAAGTTGACAGAAGTTTTATCTTTATGCAAACATATAAAGTCAGAAGGAATGTTTGCATAGTCGGAAAGAAGTGTGAACATTTGTCACTTATAGTGTAACCATAGAGTTCTAGATAATTTGTGCCATTAAACAATATAATCAGGTGACAAACCACGGGTCCGGGTAGTTCTGTCGGTACCCGGGTCCTACTCAGTACCCACCTGACCTGAGTTAACCGTCCCAAACCTAGTTGCTGCAAAACTTAATAATAACATGGGCACCTAAATCTTGAATTACCCCCAGTTTGATGACGTCCAGCCCAAGAAAGCGTAACAAATACCGGACACAGGGATTAATGATGCAGAATGGAAAATACAACTTAGAGGTATTGAGTGTGTTCAAAGATCGATGCAGCGTTAGAAATTGGCACTAGTCCTGTAATCCTTGACAAAACTGCCCAATAGTTAAGGTACTATAAGGAATAGAAGAAATGTAACATTTTGAAGGGTTTTGGTATATGTTATCCGTGTAAGGACTAGTGGACTAAAAATGTTAGTTGTTTTTTACCGCTGTCGATGTTGTGTTTACAAGTAAGGGCCAGTCAGACACAAATCTGAATTGTTTTTACATGCATTGATGCATGTTTTTACAACTAAATTGAGCCATGACTATGATATTCAGATAGGTTGTAACATTATTACAAAATTACCCACAACATCACTGGTTACAAAACAGATGTTGCTATTGTTCTCTGTCCAATATGAATATGACACAGCTTGACAACCGTTATATGAAACACAGATTTCAATTACTTTTTCTACTCCACAGCTCAATGTTCATTTGATGACATCAGTCAAAATATCTAATTGCAATGTCTACACTACACCGTATGCACAAACAAATGACATGGCCTGTAGTAGGTCACACAGAAGCACAAGGTCATAAGCATTAGGATTTGGGAAATGTGATGGAAAACACAAACCAACATGAGAACTTGCATTGGCCTGAGGCTGGAAACTTGTTTGAATGGTCGGATAGTTGCACATAGTTCACTATTCCTGTACAATTTGAGTCGACCCGTGAAGATACGGGGTAGCATAGGTCTTCAGCAACCCATGCCTGCCGTAAAAGGCAACTAGGCTTGTCGTAGGAGGTGACTTACAGGATCGGGTGGTCAGGCTTGCTGAATTCGTTATAGCATGTCATTGATTCCAATTGCATGTATCGATGCTCATGATATCAATCACTGGGTTGTCTGGTCCAGACTCGAATATTTACAGACCGCCGTCATAGAGCTGGAATATTGCTGAGCGCAAAGTAAAACAACTCTCCCAAGAAACAATGACAATCAGGGTTTTTTACTTTGACTTACAAAAGTGGGGTCAAGGGGGCCCCCAATAATTCTGACGGTCTGTGCTGGCAATATGAGGGTCCTGTAAAATACTGAAATGGTGTAGCGATTAAACCTTACTTTTTTTAGTGCACTACTCCTTCTAAAGATAATATAAAGCAAAACCCTTAAAATTGGCAAATTTCTACTAGTCCTAATGATACCTTAACTATTGGGCAGTTTGGCAAGGACTACAGGACTAGTGCCAGTTTCTAACACTGACGTGTAGTGTATGGTATGTTTTTATAATTACTTTAGAGCCTGGAATGAATCAACGATCATGTGTATGGACGACTATTGGTCTGGAAATCACTATTGATATTGAAAGACACTATTGCGATAACTATTGATATTGCAAGCAACTATTGTGATAAATATCAATAGTTTTCAGTGTATCATTTTTGATGGATTTAAAAGATGAATTAAACCTTGGAACTGAAGTTTCCTATGAATGTGATAACCATAACAACAAATAAAAAGTAAAGTTTGAGATATGCCTGACTTGTTTTTTTCTTTACCCTAATAATTTAAGAAAAAGAAACTTCCACATTACCATGTGTAAATTACTACCACTCATGATAAAAATAAAATAAATTTGAACAGCATTTGACTACACCGAATGATATGGTAAATACAATCTAAACTATCGATATTCCTAACTGAAATTGATAGCCATAAACTTTACCTGTAATCCACTGTATTATTTTTTTGCGTCCATTATCTACATACATGTGTTCTGGACACACATTTGTGTGTTGCGTATCGCCCTAGAAATGTTTGTGACACACATAACACCAGCTCCCTGGTACATGACAGTTTGGTTCAGCACAAGGACCAATTAAGCAACCCAAGCCTGTTCACAAGTCTAAGCCTCACCTTGTTTACACATGTCGAATAATTTTTCAGGATCTATTTTTGAAATATTCAAAGATAAAAATGTGATACAGAAAAGTTTCCAGACAACATTTTTTTTCAAATTAGTTAAAAAAAACTTAGACATGTTAGAAGGAGTGTAACAATTAATCGAAATATCAACGTATCGCAATTGTTTGCCATATGAATGTACTAGGGCTGAGACGGGTAACTCGGGTCGGGTGGGTCCTGAGTAGGACCCGGGTACCCACATGACCCGGACCCGTGGTTAGTCACGTGATATACTGTAATGACATTAACAGTAAAACTCAATGGTTACACTACAAGTATAGCTAATGTTCACGTTTCTTTCTCACTATGCAAGCATTCGTTTGAGTAAGGATAAAGCGTCTATCAACTGCAGTGTATGCATGATTAGATAGTTTTATACATGTACATGTATCTAAATACTTTTTGCCAGGCCTGCAGTAAAATAATTTCCATTCAGACATTTTGTACCCAACTCTTGAGACCTATAGCGGGTATCCGGGTAGGGTCGGGTAATACTGTGTCGAGTACCGGTTAGTAAATTTGGACTTGATTGTACTAAGATTATACAGTATCAATAGTAATTTCAAACTGCCTACAGTATTGTAAATAGTATGCATAACAATTGATAGTTTTCAATAATCACCATTCGTTTTAAACAATTATCCATTCGTAAACTCAGTTGTTACATTCAAATTTCAACCCTGTTGTCTGTTGATTTGCATGGATTACAACAAGTTCCTATTAGAGTTATTTACTGAATAGCAACAGGGAGGAAGATGTACACCTGAGTGCAGATCCTCAATTGGATTGCAAACCATGCGATCAAAACTCAATAATGATGTTTATCTCTAGTAAAATTGATATTTCTTGAAAAGTGCACTTTTCAGTTTTTGTCATAACTCTAAACTGACTACAGTGATTATTGTTTGTTGAATAACACCTCACTACAGCTATATGATGGTGGTCTGTAAGTAATCGAGTCTGGACCAGACAATCCTGTGATTGACAACATGAGCATCGATCCAAACAATTGGGATCGATGGCATGCATCAACCAAGTGAGCGAGCCTGACCATCCAATCCCGTTAGTCGCCTACTACGACAAGCATAGTCGCCTTTTATGGCAAGCATGGGTTGCTGAAAAGCTATTCTACCCCGGATCTTCACGGGCCCAGTGATTATTGAGTGAAATTGAATTCAACACAAAATTTATTGCTAATAGAAATTATCAACACTTCAGATAATTTCACACGTAATTTACCAAAGGGCACATCAAAACAGAAGTAATACCCCTTTGGCATGCTTGAAACAATATACAATACTATCCCTGTCATCAGAGTTTAACAGTATGAGGCACACCTCAATCTCATTAAAATCAGATCTTAGTTCTCGCTACCGCTAAACAAAGATCTGAGGACATCCCATTACGGGTCACGTCAGACCGACTTTGCGCGAACTTTGACTGACCAATGGAATGACCAATCAGAAGGCAGCTTTCTCGTGCTTTACGGAACTAATTTCAAATTGGCGACTACGCTTCGCAACATATTTTGACAAATTCTCGATTACAAATTTGAAATCTGAACAAAAGAACATTCTGGAATGGCTCAGAAATGGTCTAGATAGTATGGATTCAGTCGCTAAACCCGTAACTATCGTTCGTAGTACCCCGTGTTAAAGTTTTCGAGGTTGTATGATTAGAGATCCCATTCCGACTGTCACTTTCATGATCTGGTACGCGACGCTCTGATTGGTCGGATGAAAAGTCGTTCTGACGTGACCCCTAATGGGATGTCTTCAGATCTTTGTTTTTAGCGGTAGCGAGAACTAAGGTCTGATTTTAATGAGATTGAGGCACACCTCAACCTTGAGTCTCTCCTGGCGACATTCTCACTATAAAAGCTTTAATCTAGGTCGAACATATATCATCATAAGAGGTATCAAGGTCATGAATATAACAAATGTATTTTTATAACTTAATATGAAACACAGCGATCATAATACACATCATTTAACGTTCACAACTACGGAGACCCCACAAAGGCGACCTGACCTCTGCTGTACTTCAACACCGCCAAACAGTTAATTTCCCTGTCTGATGCACAGACAGGGACATATAGGCCTAACTGTCACATTAAATAATTCGGACAATAATTCAAGCAGCCACCTCAGCATACTCCAAAATATACATCTCACATCATCATGTTCATCATCTCATAAATGAATATGACCAGTCTTAAAAAAGCCAAGCAGCAGGGATTTTACTAAAGTTAAAGACTGATTGTTTGAGCAACATCAAAATTATCCAGAGAGTCTAAAATGGTCCTTCGCATAACCGTTAACATGGTTAATGTTAAAAATGTTAAAATTTAGGGGATCGCTATTTTCAAAAACAATTAGATAGCAAACACCAATGACCTTAATTTCTAACCAGCTAACACTGATATATGTTTGCAAGTTTGTCATTGTCATTTAATTTGCCACCTTAGTTTGGGTCAGGGTTGAATTTGAACGTGTGGTGACTGAAGAAAGCAAGGCACCGAAAACAGTCAAACAGTGGCAATCGCTGTCAGGAATTTTAGTATAAAATTAATAATCCTTCACCAGCAACACTAATAATCAGCTCAGTTTTACCTGTCTTGTGATATTTCATCTGCAGGTACTTGGATAGAATGTAATCAAATTTGCAAAACAACCAAATGTCCTTCCAAACACCCAGATCACCCGTTCAGCGTCCTGATCACAACATGAACTTCTATGACGGGTCAAAGGTTGTACTGTGAAGGACGGTTCTCCACCTCCTCACAGCGATAGCACGTTCGTGGAGCCCTCGCGATACTACCGAGTGTGAAACGAAGGTGTCACGCGCTGGGGAGGAGCTTGATTTGGCCATAGACTGGTTCACGGATTCTCCGCTTGGTGTCGCTGCTCTTGCTCCCAAGGAAAGGACCGGCATCAACCACCACAACATCCAAGCTCCTACCCAACGCGTGACACCTTCGTTACACTCTCGGTAACATCGCTGCCACCAGTGTGGGCGCGGCCATTACAAGAATCTTGACATTTGCCCTCCAACCCCATATAAGTAACGTTTATACTTTTGTTTATGTCTTTGAGAATGCCATCATATTTCATTTTGAAAAGGTTAACGACTGACCATGTTTTCCAGATGAATTTACTTTGTTGTTTTAATAATCAGATTGGTTCGAGATTGCAGACTAACGGAAAATCAACCAACTTCTCCCTTACATTCTTACTATATCAATTAAAGATGATACTTTTAATGAAATAGAAATTCAAACTGACAAACAAAGAAAGTAATTTATCAGCGGTGAGTGTATTCGGCGTCACGACAGTCGTCACTTGTTTGTAAACATGACGGTCATTAGGTTGCGAGTTCAACTCCAAGCATGGTTGGGGACACCTATCACAGTGGGGTGTTTTGAGAGCTCCCCGAACGGACCATCGCTGTGAGGAGCTTGCCGAACATCTGCTAAAACAAGATGCGCAGAACGAACGGAAATCAGTCTAGCTTCAAGCTCCCCCCCAGCGCGTGACACCTTCGTTACACTCTCGGTAACATCGCTGCCATTACAAGAATCTTGAAATTTCCCTCTAACCCCAAATGCAGTAACGTTTTTACTTTTGTTTATATCTTTGGGAATGCCATCATAGTTCATTTTGAAAAGGTTTACGACGGACCATGTTTTGCAGATGAATTTACTTTGTTGTTTGTATAGTCAGATTTGTTCGAGATTGCAGACAAACGGAAAATCAACCAACTTCTCCCTTACATTCTTACTATATCAATTACATGATAGTTTTAATGAAATAGAAATTCAAACTGACAAAGAAAGAAAGTAATTTATCAGCGGTAAGTGTATTCGGCGTCACGACAGTCGTCACTTGTTCGTAAACATGACGGTCATTAGGTTGCGAGTTCAACTCCAAGCATGGTTGGGGACACCTATCACAGTGGGGTGTTTTGAGAGCTCCCCGAACGGACCATCGCTGTGAGGAGCTTGCCGAACATCTGCTAAAACAAGATGCGCAGAACGAACGGAAATCAGTCTAGCTTCAAGCTCCCCCCCAGCGCGTGACACCTTCGTTACACTCTCGGTAACATCGCTGCCATTACAAGAATCTTGAAATTTCCCTCTAACCCCAAATGCAGTAACGTTTTTACTTTTGTTTATATCTTTGGGAATGCCATCATAGTTCATTTTGAAAAGGTTTACGACGGACCATGTTTTGCAGATGAATTTACTTTGTTGTTTGTATAGTCAGATTTGTTCGAGATTGCAGACAAACGGAAAATCAACCAACTTCTCCCTTACATTCTTACTATATCAATTACATGATAGTTTTAATGAAATAGAAATTCAAACTGACAAAGAAAGAAAGTAATTTATCAGCGGTAAGTGTATTCGGCGTCACGACAGTCGTCACTTGTTCGTAAACATGACGGTCATTCGGTTGCGAGTTCAACTCCAAGCATGGTTGGGGCCACCTATCACAGTGGGGAGTTTGGACTGGTGGCAACGATGGTATGGAGAGCTCCGCGAACGGGCTATCGCCGTGAGGAGCTTGGTCTTGCTTTAAGGCAAGGGACACAACTCTTGGAGCCCCTTTGGTATACAGTACAACATCTCGTGAGGACGATCTCTGTCGTAGGTCACGTTTCTCAAAGACAAGCAGCCAGTTTTTGAGAGAATCCGTCGGGGGCAAACTCGCGACCTTCGGATTGTTAGCTTGACAGCAAACCGAGCTACGTCCGCACTGTGAAACTAAGTGCAATTTTACCTAGTCATGCCTACGACGTTACGGAACTGAACGAAAAGGATCGAATAGGCGACGGACATTTACGAAGATTACGGGTATCCATGGTGTCTCGTGACTTTAAGTCTTCGGTTACTTACGAGTGATCCCGATGCCATTTGGCACACTCGTCCCATTCCGTAATCTACAAGATACCGTGTGGTGAGGAATGAGCCGATATATTGCGCGAACTGAAAACGGCTCCAGGCGTCAAACGTTAAACGGGTACGCTTAAATGACATGGTATTTAATAATACGTCGGGTGATTTTTGTGACAGAAACGTGTGGTAGGGAACACTGTAAGGATAATGTGGATAATAGTAAGGAATGAGGGAGGCATAAGCATGGCTTATGGCGACACAAGGATGAGTTCGCGTTTGAATCAGTATTGAATAAATGTAGCGGGTGAAAGTGGCTTGTGTGAACGTTTTAGGACAGTTTCCAGTAGCCAAAATATTCGTCACTAAACCATTTCACCCTGTTTTCTCGACATTTTCGTGTGAAGAATATTAGGAGCCGCTATAGAATCTATAATTGACACTAAACGGAAATCTAACTCTAAAGATCGTAGTGAGTGAGTATGGTTTAACGCCGCTTTTAGCAATATTCCAGCGATATCACCGCGGGGGACACCTTAAAAGGGCTTCACATTGTACCCATGTCGGAAATCGAACCCGGGTCTTCGGCGTGACGAGCGAACGCTTTAACCACTAGGCTACCCGACCGCTCCTTCTAAAGATCGTAGAGCTAGGGCTGAAAGATTGAAGTGGGGAACCAAGGGCTAAGGATAGAGTTCAGGGTAGCCTACCCTATCACCGCCGACATTTTGATGTGTTCAGCTCCAATATAACATACCTAATAAACTGCATTCCTGCGCATAATAATGAAAATTAATGAACCAGAAAAATAATATATGTATATTAGTTCCCATTTATAACCAACCATTTAAGCCACTTGAAATCGAGAAGTACTAAATAAAAAATATACATAAAATAAAAGTGCTTTCATAAACTAGCGCTTGCTATAAAAATGCGCCGCCGCAGGCTATATTTAGTAAACAAATTCAAAACTCTCAAAACCGCTGGGCGTATTCAATGTAATTGCGTGTAGAGATAATAGATCACTGGGAGGAACTTATGCACACTCAATGACCCCTGACGTCACAGGGCATTGTTAAATTCTTGTAGATTACGGAATGGGACGAGTGTGCCAAATGGCATCGGGATCACTCGTAAGTGTCCGTAGCTATTCTTTCGCTCAAGTACGTAACGTCACAGGCATGCACTTTGTTTCACAGTGTGGACGTAGCTCAGTGGGTTAGCTGTCGGGCTAAAACTCCGAAGTTCGCGTCCGACGGATTCTCACAAAAACTAGTTGCTTGTCTTTGAGACATGTGACCTACGGCAGAGATTGTCCTCACGAGAAGTTGTGGTACTGTATTCTAATGGTGCTAAAAAAAATAATATATCTATATTAGTTCCCGTTTATAATTATTTTAGCCACTTGAATTACGAAAAGAACGAAATAAAAAATATATTGAAAGTGATAGTTCTTTCATAAACTAGCGCTTGCTATATATTGCGCCGCCCCATGCTACATTACTATTACATTAGACCCGTGAAGATTCCGGGGTAGAATAGGTCTTCAGCAACCCATACTTGCCATAAAAGGCAAATATGCTTGTCGCAAAAGGCGACTAACGGCATCGGGTGGTCAGGTTCGCTGACTTGGTTGATACATGTCATCGATCTTAATTGCGTTGATCGATGCTCATGATGTCAATCACTGGATTGTCTGGTCCAGACTCGATTATTTACAGACTGCCGTCATACAGCTGGAATATTGCTGAGTGCGGCGTTAAACAACAAACAAAAGCTACACTTAGAAAACATATTCAAAACTCTCAACATCGCTGGGCTTGTTCAATGACATTGCGTACAGAGATGATAGATCACTGGGAGGAGCTTATGCACATCCGGTGATCCCCTGACGTCACAGGGCATTGTTTCGCCGGTGTGACTGATAGACCGGTTCCCGGATCCTCCGCTTGGTGTCGCTGCTCTTGCTCCGTTGCTTTGTTCTACTATGGGGAGGGATATGTCGGCAGTTTGGGGGTCTGGCCACTACTCTAGATCCTGCTGTTTACAGTTTCAATAATGATGCCGATCTTGCATATCTTTTATACAATTTTCACACAATAATTTCACTTTGGAAATTTGTCAATGTTCAATATAATATCATACGAACGTAGATCCAGGCCACAACGTATATGTGCCTTTGATAATCTACTTTTTGTTTGAACATTGTTCACGTAAGAAATTGATTAGTTTATAGTGTCGTATACGATATTTCGTTCCTTTGGATAAGTGTTACAAGATGAATGTAAATGTAACGGCAACATGTATGTATTTCTGGGGAGTGTAATAGTCAATATTATATGTTCATATGAGCAATGTCCATGTTTCATTTTATTATATAACTAAAACTGAATATATTACTTTAACAAAATAGATTTCGTTGATTTATATGAACACATTTTTCAGAAGAATTGTCTTGGTCTTGGAACTGTTATTTATGTCGTTTGATATACAGAACAGTGATATCTAACGATTCGCCAGGTGCGCGTTAGTCACAAACGATTTACAAAAATTGTTCCTCTCGTTTTGCATTATATAATCAATGGGTTCACCCATTTTTAAATATTTTGATCACAGGATATTAAACTGTTTACTTTATTTCTCCAAGAAATGTAAAAAGTATTATAAAATATAACCCATGCCATGTTCCCCGTTGGTGGAACCTTATACGATTACCCTGATAATTCTATACCAATAGAGCTTTCTTCGCATCTTTTATTGTATAATTCTGAGACGAGATGATGAGAAATAATCACATTATAATGAACAAATACATGCCCAATATTGAATATAATTTTGTTTGTTTTGAAATATTGCCTGTCTTGTCCAATTAAGATACATGGTAAACGATCTATTCAAAACATTATTTAAATGGCATTTTATGTTGTCAAATTCCGTTTAACACATCGACATTTTCCATATTCTGAACGAAAATTTGGGGAGATATATATTAATCAAAATGT